AATGCTCGTAACTCCTCAGTAGTTTGATCCTTCAAAAAAAACAACTTTATGATCCTTCATAAAGTTGAAGTCTAATGTTTTATGTTTGCCCAAAAGCTGTCTGTCTACCAGGTGGGGGCCCCCTTTTGTGATACCGCACCCTACTTTCTCCCAACCCCACGCACCTGTGGTGCCCGGTCAGGGAAGCACCTCATAATCTCTTAAATGAATGTTTTATAAAGAGAAACTTTTGAATTAAGTATTTGCTTTGCTTGGTTTTATCAAATTTTTCGGATTCAAAAGGATCATATAGTGTGTATATGTTTCAAACCTTCACATGCTTTTCAACTATGTTTAGATTAAATGAAGGTGATAATGTTTTGTTTTCTGGACACAAGCTTACACCATCTTACTTAACAGTTTGCCTTTTCTAGGGCTTTACTAATGTCCATTGAACATTCAGGGTTACTTGTGTGCCAGCAATGTTTATTCTTTGATACATTAATGGCAATATCTTAAGAAAATCGCATAATTTTTTTTCAACTTATTTTTTCTTCTTTTGGGTAGAGAATTCCTCTAGTTTTCTTTTTCAACCCCCCTGTCCAACATTCCCTTACCATTCTACCCTGAACTTCCAAGGTAAGCTTCAGATAATAAGCACCTACAGTGTGTTTAGTGTAGTAAATCACTGATCACGTGACCTTTGTTTTCATATCCATGCCTTTGAGTTGGTTGTATGGATAGTGCAGATATTTCCTATATTTAGTAATCAACTTCTGTTTTTTTTACTTCTTATCAATGTCTTAGGAAAAGCAAATAAGTAATGAAGAAGATAATTTAAGGAGGATGGAAGAGGCCAGACTGCAGCTGAAGGACCAACTTCTTTGCCTGGAGACTGAACAAGAATCCATTTTTGGCATGATAGGAAAGGAAATTGATACAGTTTGTAAAGCTTTCTGGAAGGACTCAATGGAGAAACTGAAAGTAACTACAAGTTATTAATTGTGCCCTACAATTTAAGCCAGTTTCCTAACAAGATTATAATGGGATTTTGATGAGTTGCTACATGGTAGTCACGTGTTTATTCCAGAAAGTTTTATCAACATTATTTTATTTATTGTTTATTGAACATTATTTTTTATCATTATCTCAATTCATCTTAGACCTCAGTCATAAGTACTATATCTTTGGTCATTGAAGATTGAATTGAGAGGTACGATATAAGTAATTAGAAAATAATAATAAAAGTGTATTGTGATCAGTGACAAATGAATGCTTATAAGTATAGGCATATAAAAAATCAGAAGAGAAGGAAAACAGTGAATTTGGTTGTTGCTGTGTGCCATCGAGTTGGTTCCAAACCATAGTGACCTTGTATAGGGTTTCAGAGTGTGGCTGCTGGGTTTGAATTGCTGACTTCACTATTAGAAGTCCAGTGCTTATCATACATCACCCACTGAGAAGCTAGAGAATGAGAGTTGTGTGGAACTTTGTTAGAGAGAAAGGTGGATGACACTCTTGCGTAGGGCACATGGTAGTTACTCAATATGCATTTATCGTATGTCTAGCAATATTGCTGAAGTGGGGGGTTATGTGCACACACATTATAAGCCACAGACATATTTGAGAATTAAGAGTAGTTATCTTTTGCCAAAGGTTAGTTAGATTTTTAAACAGGAGATTTTTAGGAAGAAGGCCTGCAAAAATAGCTTTTGTAACATTACGTGTTAAAAAAAGAAGAAATTGATAAAAACATCTTTATGCGTTCATTTATAGTTACTGGCAACTTTTCTGTCCAGTACTGTACTTCAGTAATAAGGCAAAAGTTTTATAAACACAGTGGAATGAAGGAAATGATCTTTCTTGGCAGTATGATATAGCATAGTATAGTATAGCTAGTACAGGCAGTGTTCTTGCGGTTAGGATTTTGTTACCATGTTGAAATCGAAAGCATTGCTTGCATGAAGTCATGTTTACTTTCTAACATTTCTACACAAATCATTGATGAGATGAAGTGGCTCTCCTAGTATAAAACTAAAGAATGTATGAGACAGAGTGTACATGTAGGCAAATCTAACCAACTGTGAACTATATTATGTGGAACAGACAGAAGAAAAGAAATAGAAAGGAAATAAAGGCGCTTTAAGCTCCGCTGCTTTCCCAAGAGACCACTGTGGAGATGATCTCCAGAAATCCCAGTGTTGATACCACTGGGAGGTGATTTTTTTTCATGACTCAGTATTTGAGCTCCATACGTACACACATAGGTATATAAATGGTAATTTGGATTGCTTGAGTACTTGCTGTAAAGTTTCTTCTTTTTAAATAATTAAATTTAGTAACTGACTTTTTTAATGGTTATGGTGAAGAATTTAATTCATGTAAGTGTCTTTCAGAGACAAAATTTAGCTTCTAATAGGCTCTTTATCTTGTGGTAGGTTTTTTCATCTGTTCCTGATATGCATTATGACCCACATCGCTGGTTAGCAGAAAGCAAGGTAATTACTTTTTGAATTCTAAAATTATCATAATATTTATGACCTTCAAGTGATTCCATTTGGGTTAGTTAAATATTTTGTCATATAAATGAGTATAGGAAACTATACTATTTCATTTTGAGAGTACTCTCATTGCAGTGCATTTTAGGAAACCTCTGCGAGTTTATTTTAATATTTAGAATTAGATACAAAGAGACTTCAAAAAGTTCATGTAAATAAAATATAAAGATAATGGAACTTTTGCACAAATGTTTTGAAGTCCCCTAGTATATAGGCTGTAGGATAAGCACTGGACTGGTAACCTCAAGATTGGCAGGTCAAAGCCACCTCAGAAACCTCAGAAACCCTGTACAGGATCACTCTGAGTTGGAACCGACTAGACAGCACATACAACAACAGGACATAGGCATGGAATTATAAAGGAAGGTAAAACTTTTGAAATCATTATAGCTGATTGTCAGAAAGACAAAGTCTTGTGCCTTTTACTTGGGATAGGCAACTTCTTTAAAATTATATAAGAACAAAGATGTTGCAACTAACCAGAAGTTTGCATATCAATATACTTCTATATTGTTGTTAAAGTGCTGTTGAGTCAGTTTGGACTCATGCCAACCCTGTTTATGGTTTCCAAGGATCAGCTTGTGGGTTTGAAACTACAACATTTGGGTTAACAATCCAGTACTTATCCAACAGAGCCACTTATATTACATGTCACATCTGACTCACAATCAATGATCCTATTATTATCCATATTACTATTCAGTGTTTGTTCTTGAAGACAGGATATATTCCATGTTTTGCTTCACATACTTGGGTATAAGGGCTAGGGGTCATTGTACTGTGCTCTAATGTAGTTTAAAGTCTGATCGTTACAATGGTGATATAACAAGTCAAAATACATCCCTTAAAAGTGTGTCATATTAAAATGGAAATATATAAAGATTGTAAAAGGAACAATGAGCAATAAAGAACTGCCCAGGTTGAGAGGATAGGATCATATGATTCTGCTTCTGGACAAAGCAGTATTTAAAACAGGTCTTATAAAAAAAAAAAGACGTCTAAGTTCTTCTTCAGTTGACTAGTTATAGGTAGAGCAAAATGATGACAAGATTTGAGTAGCCTCTGATGATGAGTAAAGTGAAAAAGGCACAGCTTTCCATTAGAGAAGCGTTTCTAGCACACATAAACACAAGAGCATTTAAAATCAGAAACAGGTACTGTGACTATAGAACACTGAAATTTACCTGACTGTAATTTTTTCCTTTCCCATGCTACATACAGTGTTCATGTGTATTCTTAACCATTTTTGATAGACCAAAATGCAAATTTCTATTTATGCCATCTGCATAGGAATTGTGGAATACACATATTTTGCTCTCTCAGCAAACTATGACCAGAAACTTCTGTGGTGTATAAATAAAACACATCCCCCTCCACCCCACACCAGATTTCACAGTTCTGACAGCAAGAGAATTGTCTTTCAAGTTAAAGTCTGCATATACTATTTCTGAGCAGAAAGCTTTCACTTCTGTGGTGGTTCCATTAAATTATGAGAGCCAGAGATGACTCTTAATCATAGCTCTTTAATTTGGGAACTAGTGAGCAGTTTTCCCTTATCATTTAATGGAATTGAACTTCTGATCAGACAGCTTTAATGCTGCGCGAGGCAACTGTTCCTTTACAGTGTAAAAGGGTTGTGATAAGCACTGCCATGCTGACCAACTTGACTAAGGAGCAATTGAATCTGTTTACTAGAAAGATGGCTTAGGTTATTGATGGGCTGCAATACTGTAATTCCCATGAACTATGACTGGACAGCTCTATAAGTATTGAAGATAAGATCTGAAATCAGAGGACAAAAACTCTATGGAAAGTATAATTGCTATTCAGCTAGTCCATGCTGACATCTAACTGTATTGGAAGGACCTCGGAGGGCATTCGGTAATTGTTTTAATAAATCTGCCAACTGAATTCCTTTTGTTAGTGTTAATTCTAGATAGAAGAGCTAGAGGAGGATTGGATGGGGATTAATGTCACTGTTGCTTTGTTGGCAATGGTGGCATAATGTAAACATGAAGTCCAACTTAGAGTTAGGCCAGATTCAGAGATAAAGTAACCAGTGAAGGGTGAGGGTAATATTTTGTGAGGGAAAGTGGTTTGGCCATTAAGGAATTCCAGGGAAGGAGTTCTTAGACATTACAGACTTGTTTTGTTTTTTCCTCCCCAAAACATTCTGACTAGGCATGTAGAATACAAATTTCAGTTCAGTTTGACAGGATTTACTGAGTAGCTACTATGTCCTAGATGCTATATTATATGCTGTTGACAAAAACAAATGAGTAAGACATCAGCCTGTCAGAGACATAAGTGGATGATTTCAATATTATGTGTAAGAGTTATCTCAGGCACATAAAAAGAATACGGTAGGAATACAGATTCACTGTACCAAAAATAATTGCGTAGTGGTCAACCATTTAAGGGGCAGCATATGAGCAAGGACCAATGGTACCAAGTGAAGAAGTCCAAGGGGCACTGAAGGCATTGGTGAAAACTAAGTCTCCAGGAACTGACAGAATACAAATTGAAATCTCTTCACAAATTAATGCAGTCCTGAAGGCTCTCACTTATCTATGTCAAGACATTTGGAAGACAGTTAGCCACTTGGCCAAACGATTAGAAAAGATCCATATCTGTATTCATTTAAAGAAAGGTGGCACAATGGAACGTGGAAATTTTGGAACAGTATTATTAACATCACATGCAAATAAAAGTTTGCTGAAGACAATTCAAAAACGATTGCAGCAATACATCAAAAGGGAGATGCCAGCAATTCAAACCAGGTTCAGAAGAGGATGTGCAACTAGAAATATCATTGTGGATCTTGACTGAAAGCTTTATTGACTATACAAAGGCTTTTGTCTTTTTGGATCATGATAAACTATGGCTAGCATTGCAAAGAATAATGGGTATTCCAGAACACTTAATTGTGCTCATGAGGAACCTGTACATAGGCCAAGAGACAATTGTTTGAACAGAAAACGGAGATACTGAACAATTTAAAATCAGGAAAGGCAGATGCCAGGTCAGTATCATTTCACCATACTTTTCCAGTCTTTATGCTGAGCACATAATCCAAGAAATTGGAGTATGTGAAGAAGAACAAGGCATTAGGTTTGGAGGAAGAGTTATTAACAACCTGTGGTATGCAGATAAGCCATCATGCTTGGGGGATGGTAAGAGGACTTGAAATACTTGCTAGTGAAGCTCAAGCACTACAGCCTTCAGTGTGGATTGCACCTCCATGTAAAGAAAACTAAAGGCTTCACAACTGGAACACTGGAGAAAAGATTGAAGCTTTCAAGGAATTCATTGTGCTTGGATCCACATTTAACACTCATAGAAGCTGCAGTCAATAAAAACATGTATTGCATAAGGGAAATCAGCTGTAAAACATCTCTTTAAAAGTGTTCAAGAGCAAAGATACCAGTTTGATGACTAAGGTACACCTTACGCATGCCATTGTTTTTTTCCAGTTGCCTCATATGAATGTGAACAACACATATAAATGTGGGGTTGCGATAATGGAGGGGGCGGCGACTGAACAATGTGTGAGAACTGCGCAGACCTGGTGGAGGTGTTAAATGAAACCCAGACCATGGAGCAGCGGGGTGAGAGGTGTCTGGAGACCAGGTGGGGGCGGGGGGAGGGGGACGCTGCCTAGCGGGAAGAGACTGCTGCGGCCAGCCAGGCTGTCCTACTTACCCCGGACGTGAGGGCGCCTTCCAGGCCTAGCCATTGAATTGTGGCTTTGAGATGGGCTTGACCAACTTAGGGACCCACAAGCACAGCCCAAAGCGTTCATTACAACCTTGTCGCCCCTGCTGCGCTTCCACCGCTTGACTGCCGCGACATCGGAGAACGGAAATCCCACCTTTGAGCCGGACTTAAGGGCCATAGTGCAAGGAGATTCGTGTTTAACAGCGACCACACAACCACCACTCGTCGGTCTGTCGTGCTGTAGTAGTTTGAATTGCTGTGATTCTGAGGGCTATGCCATAGGGACAGGTTTCAGATGAGCTTTCAAACAAAGACAGGCTAGGAAGAAAGATTGACAAACTACTTCCGAATCGCTAGTCACTGAAAACTCTATGAATAGCAGAGAAACACTGTCAGATACAGGACCGGAAGGTGGGAAGGCACTCAGAATGCGACTGGGGAAAAAAATGCTTCCTCAAAGTAGAGAAAAGCTCACAGAAACTTCATTTGCTA